GCAGCAGAGGGACAGTGACCTTCAGATGTCGCCAGCCAGGCTCCTTGTGTGGCCACAGGGCCTACGGTACAGCTCTTTGTCCATGGGGGTCTGTCACCCGGCATGGGGGACAGGTGACTGACTGGACTGGGGGTTCTGTCACCGGGCATGGGGGACAGGTGACTGAAGAGGGCGTCTCGTCCAGACCATAGTCGGGGCCCCCGCTGCGCACCAACCACGCCTGCCTCAGCCCCTTCTCCCACGCCAGGGGATGGTGTCCTGTGCCGTTTGGTTTTGAACCTGTTCTTGTGACGCGTATCTGTTAATACCGTGGACAGTGGCCCTGTGCAGACATTCCTGTGTCCGCTTCCACCCAGAACTGCTGCTTCCGGGGCCCCAGAGGGGCCTGTGGTGCCAGGACCAGCCCGTGCCCGGCCTCCTACAGCCCTCAGCAAGCTCTGGCTTCTGGTGGCCAGAGAAGCTGCCCTGCAGGTCACAGAGGACGCTGGGACATGGACGTCCCCACTGCACAGTGTTGCCTCCCTCCAAGAAGCCACCTCAGGGCACAGGGTCACCACGGGAAGAACACAGCAGCTCCAGGATCCGCTGTGCAGCCACCCAGCACCAGGACCGAGTTGGGGACTGGACGCTTCTTGGAGAGGGCCCACTTTGGACTGAAGAAAAGTAGGGCTTTGGGGAAGCACGTGAGGTAGCCCCGTGTTGTCCAGCCCTCGGTCTGCAGTGAGTAGGTGATGGGAAGGACACACAGGTCCCCATCCCAGGGCTGAACCTGGTGGCCCCCCATCAGCCACACGGACCTGACCAGCATCCAGGGACAGGTCCACCTGCCTGTGGGCCCAGCTCCCCGGTCTTGGGGCCTTGCCTGTGTTCAGACCCCTCTCCCCAAGAGAACCGGTTCCTTTCCTCGCGGCAACGCTAGGGCCAGCAGAACAGCGGCAGCCTGACACCCGGGTCCCCCGGCAGTCCAGGGGGCCTGGCTCCAAGGTGGTGCAGCTCCCCAGGGACTCTGGGCTCCCTGACCCCTAGGATAGAGGAGTCTCCAGGTACCAAAAGGAGATGGACCGCGGGGCCTGGCTGGGCACATGACCTTCAAGACCTCTTTGGACATGACCTTTGGGGTCAAGCAGGTGGCTGTGGTGGAGACACCCCGTCACTCTTAAGTGTGGCAGACTTGGCAGCTGTTTCTAGAGAGAACTCTGGTCTGGGGAACCTAGCCTTTCACCGAGTCACCCCCAGGCTCTTAGGGGGCACGTGGACACGAAGGCTGGCCCTTCCCTCTGGCCCTCCACGCGTCAGGAGCGTGTCTGCGGGCCTTCACCTTGGGAGAGGCTGACCTCTCATTTAGTGCTTCCTCGCACAGACCCACCAGGGCTGCCCTCTCGGCTGTGCTGGGGGGCGGGCACGTCCACAGTGACCCCTCGGGTAAGCGGTATTTAACAGGAAGCCTGGCACCAGCACCTGAGTCCCAGGCTCATCAGAGCTTCCTGGCCTTGTCTTCCTGCGTACCATCGAGTGGGAACCGACCTACAGCTGACGCGGTTTCAGAGACGGTAAATCCAGTAGGAGGGAAGAGATTGCCTGTCCTCCCACAGAGCTGCTGGTGGATTCGAACCATGTGCCTGAGCTGGCAGTGCAGTTCCTCTGCCCGAGCTCCTTGGCCGTGTCTTGAGGTCTGGATTTCCATCTCTGAGAGATACCAGCTGCAGGTGAAGGCAGGCAGCAGTCCCCGGGGGTACTGAAGCCGAGTCGGGGTCACCCTCGTTTGTGCCTGTTTGCTTTAGACGGTACTGTTTTAACACCATCTGATGCATCGCCCAGAGCGTAAAGTCACTCTCAATAAAAGAATGCCCAACTCCAGCGTGCTGTGGCACCCAGTGACAAGCGGGGAGAGCTGTGTGTTCTGCTAGGTCTCCGATGAGGACTCCAGAAAGGACACGCTGCCCCTCTGGCCTGGCCAAGAGCAGCTCCAACACCCCTTCCCATCTGTGCCACAGGCCTGGTTTGGGACCCTCCACTCCTGTGTACACCCCACTCTGACCTGGGACACCCTATACCCAGGAGCAAATTGAAAGGGTACAACTGCTGCCCACCTGGAGGTCAGGGCCCCAGGAAGGAAGCACCCCTCCAAAGCCTACCCCTGAGAGCTGACCTCGGGCTCTGGGGTCGGGTGTGCACCCAGGGCCCCAGTCCACAGGCTGCCCGGGCACCTTGCCATCAGGAGCTGCACCCAGGGGTGCCGTATCCAGGGACACAGGCTCCGAGTTCTGTTTCCTCCTACCCACAGGCTCTGGGGAGACCCAGGACCCCACACACAAGCAGGGAGCTGAGTTCAGCGGACTGCGAGGCACTAGGAGTGGATGACCTGATAGGAATGGTGTAGAGGAAAGCAGAGTGCGAAAACACTGGCTCCCGACCCCAAATGCCCTGATTCTGATGCGGAGAAACTGCTGGAACAAGGATGAGGGAGGTGACTCCCCGGCGCGGGGTGCTGCTGGATTAATGTCAACTGCTTTGTTTGCAGGGTTTATCGTCATCCCAAAACCAGGCCAGTTCTCCAGGTGGCACTGTCGTGTAGCCCCACCACTGCGGCCAGCTCGCTGATGGCACCATTGGAGGTGGACAAACCCGATGTTCTGGGTGCGAGGACGCAGTCCTGGAGTCCAGCGTGGAGGAGGCACTGCGCCCTGGGCCCATGCCAGCTGCTCACCCAAGGATGTTGTTTCCGTTCTAAACCACTCTTCCGGGGCTGCAGGAAAAGAGAAGACGGGAGGCTTTCTTGATTTTCACTTTAAAAGTCAATGTAATTCTCCTATCTGTACATAAAAATACATGTACACATATAATATAAAATAGGGATCACTGACAAGACCCCTTTATATACTGTTAGAACAGTCCTCTCTCGGTTTTGCACTGATTTTTATACCTTAGGCATTTGGGAGACAATCTGAAATGTACTCAGAAAGCTGCTACTTTCTGATTTAAGTATGTCATTCAGGAAGACAGGCCGACATCACAGACTTCCAAAAGTTATTTGCACATAGATTGTTAACCAAGAATTACTTTGAATATAGGTATATAGACTCCTGGCTCCCCCAAGGTGTGGGCAGGGAAGACACCCTTTTTATCTGCTAACATTTATTTTAATACTGTTATTTTCAATGCAATCAACTGTATTATATGTATAAATAATGTAAATGGAGGAAATACTTCACTAGTTAATTTCCATCACTTGAGAGTAATATTTCTAATTCACAAAAACTATTACTATTAAAACTATCTTGACTACACCACCTGTTTATAGTTTTTGCTAAATCGGTTGGGATTTTAATGACTTTTTTTTGTTGAATTGAGTATTTGGAACGATTCACCATTGCTTTGCCCAGAGCAGTTTTAAGAAGGAAGGTTCTGGAGGGTTCTGGACAAGCTGTGTGTGTAGTCCGGCTGTGGTTTCAGTACGCAGCCATCACTGGTCCCTGGCAGCCTGTGGCCTCACGCAGCGTGGTCTCTGTGGTCAGCATGGAAAACGCTTGCTCTTGGCTGGTGGCTGGAGACTGTACAGTGTCACGTGGGGTTGTATCTAGTGGGAACCAGCTCTTGATGGCCATACATACCTGTCCATTCTTGTCAGTTCCTGGACTCACTGAATAGCTGGATTCTCCACACTGGGCCTTTGGTGGGCTTTTTCACTTGGGGAGACGCTCAGTGTATTTCTCTAAGTGATCACCTGAAACTGGGGCCTGTCTGGGTCATTTTAAGTTCCTTCCTTCTCAGCTCAGAGTCTGCCCACATTGTCATATATGTGCCTGCAGCAGGGCTGACCTTGGGCCAAGTCCTGCCGTCTGCCCAGGTCCTGACTTAGTGGACAGTTAACCACTCCCTTCAGTTCCACTTCCCGCCAGGTGTGACCACCAAGGGGTGGACCACAGAACCTACCACAAGCTGCTGGAATGTGCAGCTCACGTGCACACTCAGTGCCCTGCCTCCTACAGTCACATATCAGTGGATGGTGGCCAGTCTGCATTCTCCCCAGAAACCGACAAGGGCTTAGCAAACATTTCCTTTAGAAAGAGCTTTCAACCCTCTTAAATCTCAAATCCAGAAAAAACCTCGCCCAGTGGTAACCAAACCCACAGGTGATGCCCATGGAAGCAGCAGTCAAGAAATGAAAGGATGTATTATTACACTGGGTAAGTCTACAAGAGGACTTCTTTAAAGTGCTTGGGAGCAAGGGTATCACTGTGAGGACTAAGGTGTGTCTTTCCCAAGCCATAGTATTTTCAACTGCCTGCTAGGCACGGAAGAGCTGGACAATGAATGAAAAAGACTGACAAATCTGATGCCTTTGAATTTCAGTGCTGGTGAAGAATATTGTTTACACCATGGATCGCCAAGAGCATGAACGCACCGGGCTTGAGGACCTCTCAGAACAAGAATGGCGGAGGCTCTGTCTCACTTACTTTAGACGTGCTATCAGGAGGGACCAGTTCCTGGACAAGGACGTCAAGATTGCAGAAGAGCAAGGTCAGCAACGGAGAGGAAGACCCTCGAGGAGATGTGTGGTCACAACCACAGCCATGGGCGCACGCAGAGTGGAGACTGTCTGGGTGGCGCAGCCCGGGCAGTCCTTGTACTGTCCCTGGGGTCGCAGTGAGGCGGCGATGATGTGACGGCCCCTGACCGTCCCGTTTGCTGCAGGCATTTCCATCATTTCTGTGCAAGGAATCTGCGGCTGCTGACTCAGGAGAGAAGACCCGCGTGGTGGGGTCCCCAGTGACTGGCCAGGAGGTCACCCCTAGTCCTGGAAAAGGGCAAAGTCAGAAAGGTCTGCTTTTGAAAACCAAGTCAAGAATTCCTCCCCTCACGATCCCCCAGGTCCTCTCCTCACAGTGGGCTGTGCCGTCTGTCCATCTGTGGGACCCTGGTCAACCTTGTTCCCACTTCCAGCTACATGAAGGTGCTATAGGGCTGGGCACAGAGACCTCAGGGAGCAGCCGACTGCCTCATGACTCCTCTAGGGTGCTGAGATCATGAGGATCAGACGCCATGCGGTCACTGCCCCGAGAGACCGCAGCAGATCCCCGTCCAGCCCAGTGCCGGCCCCACAGTCCACTGAGGCACAGTGTCCTCAGCCGTGGCTTCCAGTACAGCCGCCCCCATGAGAGGCCCAGGTGGGCCAGGCCACCCGGGGACAAGGCAGCCCAGCTGGAGGCCTGTGAAGCTGCATTGGCCTGTTTACACTGGACACCAACAGGAAACCAAAGCGTGGATCACGTCCCCACAATCAGGGGCAGCAGGACACCCCAAGGGTTCAGGGGGACGTTACACTGGAGCTGAGGCTGGTCAGTTTTCTGGGAACCAGCAACACCGATGAGTGTGTACTCTTAAAGATTAACTTTTCCTTCATATTTAAATACTTCAAGGGAATAACCATTTTCCCAAATGCGTCAATACCGACCAGCACCTTATGGCCCCACCTGAGACCAGCTGGCCGGCCCTCTGGGTCAGCCAGCCCCATAGACTGGTCCACCCCAGTGCCTGCAGGCCTCTGCCCACAGGGCCATGTGCTTCTGGCCCCGCCCTGGAGACTTCTCTCAGGCCACCTGGTCCATGTCGCCGGCCCCGCTATGCAGCCGAGGACGCCAAGGACATGTTCATTCCTTTACTGAGCTCTGATCTGAAATAGATGTCAGCCACCCGGAGCTTTCCCCACACCGCCTTCCCTCCAACCACAAGCAGGAGCCAAGTGAAGGACAGACAGGACGCAGGTCTCGCTCAGAATCACCACAGGCACCACTGGCAAGCTAGGCTAATCTTTAATAACAAACAGGCGTCTCCAACATCTCAGTCCGCACAGGAGAGCTGCCCTCTGCTCGCGACACAACTGGGGGCCTAGGCAGGTGTGACACGGAGCCAGGCGGAATGCGGCCTCGGAGGTGCCTGTGAGCTCACGGCCCTTCACAGAGACGGCACAGACAGAGCCCTGGACGGGGTGGTCCTGCGGGGTGCAGGCTGCTGCTCCTGGCACAGGAAGGCGGGCTCTGGCTGGTGGGTGGTGGGCCTGGCTGTGGGGGAGACAGGCCCCCTGCGTGACCCCTTGGAAGCAGAACTGGGGGTCTCTACGGTGTGGCCCCGGCTCTATCTGCTCTCCGGGACGGGGCGCGCGCCCTCAGCACCCTCCTCCTCGTCTCTCTAGTGTGGGCAGGTGGTAGGGCTTCAGGTCCGGCTTCATGTCCTTCTGGGTGTCTGTCTGCCAATGAGGAGTGACAGGTGCTGAACTGCGGTCAAGGGCAGCCCAGAGCCCAGGGGGCCAGGGGTGCAGAGGTACCTTCTTGTTGGTCCTGGTGAACTTCAGAGGCTGCAGTGGTGGCCCTTTTCTGTGGGCTGCAGGGGCAAAGCCACGGTGCAGCGAGGGGCTGGAGTAGGACAGCTGGGTGACACCTGGCAGCTGGAGGCTTGGCAGCCTCCGGAGGCAGGCCAGGCCTTGTCTGTGGGGATAGCTCTCGTCTGGCCTTCGAGACTGAAGCTTCAAAGGAAACAGAAGTCAGCTGATGATACAACAGCTTCCCTTTTGTGAGCACAGGATGGACGGCAGAGGCCCCGGGCACCCTAACCATCACTGACGTCACTGGACTATGAGCTGTGACACTGAAGTGACCACACACAAGTCCCCAATGCCCACAGCCCCCCATGACATCCCCCAGAAGGTGTGTTTACTGTGCCCACCAGGCTGATCCAGGGCTGCTGCCAGGCCTTCTCCTGGGACAGCTCTGACGGCCTAGAGGCCGGGGAGCCCCCCATTCTCCAGGCTGTGTCGGGCGCAGCTGGCCAGGGTGACCTGCTGCTCTTACTCTGCTCAGCCAAGTCTAGCCGCTGACAGATTTGGTATGTCTGGTGAGCGGAGAACGGCTTTTACACTTTTGAAAGGTTTAAAGGTAAATGAACAGATTGCAAAATGGAGACAAGATTCTTGAACCAAAACATTAGCCAAATGGTCTTTCTGCAGGGACGTGGTCTCTCCTGTTGGCTTGTGGGGTTTAGAGCCCAAGGGGCTGACGCGTGGCAGTGTGGAGACGGGGCCTGGAACCCGTACCCATGCCTGGGCCCAATGCCCTGTCCTAGGCAGTACCCTCCCTGCCAACACCAGTCTTCAGGCGCTGCCCCCCGGGCCTGTCCAGCTCTGGCTTGGTACCTGCTTCCAGCCCTCCTTGGCCGAGTGCCAGCTGTTGTTGCTGGGTCCCAAGGCTGCAGGGTGCTCCAGGACGGCACAGTGTTTGTGGCCGGGCACAGTTTGCTTCTCAGCTGCCCTGAGGAGAGAGAGGTGCCCTGAGACCTGTCGCCGTCCCTTCCTCCCAAGCTGCAAGGGGTGGCCCTGCTCCTGTCTGAAGTTCTGGGAGGCAGGCACACTGGGGTGGGGGCAGACAGCCTCTGGCCAGGGCCATACTGCCCACCAGAGTTGGGATCCACCCACCTGCCCTCCCCAGCCCACAGCAGGCACGGTGCTGTGTGGGGCCGGCCAGCCTCAGCCAGCTCGCACTTCTCCATCAGACGGTCTCTCGGCAGCAGAAGCCTGACCGGATGATGAGGTCTGTCTGGGTGCTACTCTCCCCTCTGTTCTGTCTCAGCCGTTAGGTCTGCATGGGCGGCACTGGAGCCCCCACCTCCCATGAGAAGCCAACAGCTGCTTGTACAGGCTGAGCTGGCGGTGGGGGCTGAAGGGGTGGAGCAGGGTGAGGTGGGGGTGAACTGAGGGGGGAGCGGGGTGAGGTGGGGAATTTATGGGGTGGAGCTGGGTGAGGTGGGGGTGT